AATTTTCTGGCAACATCACAAACTCTTCCGCTGGCTGCAGAGCTGCGAGGTCTCCCTMGCCTGTTGCCTCTTTAGCAAAGGAGAAATTTGAACCACTTAAGTGGCACTTGAGAAAACTGTGCGAGCARAGCGGGGCTGCGGGGAGCGGGTCGGGCACTGGGTGCACGAGGAGGGTCCCCTTGGACGAGGTGGCACCGGAGTGGCCCCGGCTCCCTGTTGTGCTCCTCGTGTCTCTGCAGACACCCAAGACCCGGTGAARGCTTCAGAGTCGGAGCCCTTTGTGGGGAGACCCTCCAGTGAAGGCCCTGCGAAGTGCAGAGGTCGTTAATCATCTCTCGCCTTTATGTCTTTTCCTCAGGACTGGTACCAACTGGCTTTTTTTCCTTATTTTTATCTTCCTTTTTGATCATCTCTCTCTGACCAAGCTTAGGTCGTGCTTTGGGGTTAGGTCAGCTCTCCTTGCRCTTAGGCGCTCAAACACGAACGTCTTGGGGTTTTGGTTTCTTTGTGGCTTGAATCSTTCCTGCTGCTCGGCACTCCTCAAGCCGATTGCCGTGTCCTGGGGTGAGCAGAGCCACGTCCTGTCCCTGCAGCACTGGCAGCAGCAGGAGCAGCGGCGGGCCGGGGCTGCTCCACACTCCTAGCGCGGCCTAAGTCAGGCTGGAGGGCAGGCCTTGGGTAACCATGCTCTGCAGAGCAGAGATACARCAGACGCAGGGCCTAGGCCGGGCCTTGCCATAAGCCTCAAAGGAAAACGGTGCCGTTGTGAAGAGGTGGTTGCTCGAGATGCAGGAGCCGGGGCGCCCTGGAGCTCGGCCTCCTGCCGCCTTCGCTGCTGGAGCAGAGCCGGGGTTGCCCGCTGGCACTTGGAGCAGGTTTTTCGTGTTTATAGCATAATTATGCAACTGCCCAGAGGTTGGGGTTTCTGTTAGGAATTGCCAGGAATCTTTTTTGCTAGGGAGCCTTGGGAAACCTTCTAAACTCAACRCAAACTTGGACGTGTCTCTTGTCCTCAGTGCCTCCTCTTTTAGCGATGATTGAAGGTGAGCGAGGTTTTGTCCCGCGTGGGGATTTGCTGCCTTTCCGGCAAGGGGAGAAAGATTAACTGCTAGAGGAAGGGCTTTCTCCAACTTTGGAGCAGCAAGCCATTTGAAATCCTTGGGGAATTCAATGGGAAAGCTTTCTGTTGGGTTTCCCTGCTGCCCGCGGCCCGGCCTCTCCGCCGCTCTCCCCGGCGGCGATTTCCCAAAGCGCCCGACTCCGCTTCGCCGCATCAAGGAGCACGTAGCAAATACTTGAAGCGCGTTTGGGGCAAGTGCAGCCGCCATTGGCAGCCCATTTTATTTTTTTCTTTTTTGAATAAAAAAAATAAAAATAGAAAAAAAACCCCTGCCCCGCGTGCTGGCGGCGCCGCGGGAGCGAACAATGGCGCCCATTGTGCCGCCCGCAGCTGCTGAAACCCGACGAGCTGCAACTGCCGCCAGCGGGAGCAGGTGGGTCAGCAACGTGACCCCGCGTTCCCAGCAGTATCAGTGCGCGCCGGCGGCCCGCGGCTCCGCGGCACCCGCTGCGGCGCCCCGCGGAGCGGCTCCCTCCGGCGCGCTCTCCCCGCCGCGGCCGGCGGCTCCCCGGCGCGAGGCTGGAGGGCGGCCGACGCGGGGAGGATTTTAAGGGGCAGACGTGAGCAACTGCTCCGGCATCAGCACGAGGCTCCTGTCCCTCGCTCCTCCCGCTTCCTGATATCAGTTTCCAGGGAAGTGAAGCGGCCCCCTTCACCCTGCTGCTGTTGGGGGTCCAGCACCACAAGCTGCTGCAGGTCACACAGAAGAGTTGAGGTCATCCAGCCTAAGCCCCTGTTCCAGCAGGGACACCCCGAGCACGGGGCACAGGGACACGGCCAGGTGGGTTGGGAAGATCTCCACACCAGGAGACTCTGGGCAGCCTCTTCCAGGGCTCTGTCACCCTGCTGTCCCTGCAGWCGTCCCTGCTGCTTCGCTGTAGGTTTGGGGAGAAAAGGTGCCACACTCAGTGTCCCCAGAGCCCTGGCCCATCTGCTGCCCTGAGTGTCCCCATAATCCTGCTGTGCCRAGTGCCTCTGTGGCGGATTGAGCGGCATCCAAATGGGCCTCGTTTTCCCATGGTTCTGCCTAGAAAAGATAAGTCCTAGGCAAGGGTGACCCTTATTAAAATCCATTCCCCCTTGGGTCTGCTTTTTCTCTGAGCTTAAGGCATAGACCAAGCTGTAGTTTTAAGGTGAAATCAGGAGCAGAAGTTGATGACTGAGTCTGGGGGAGAAGGTGGAAGCGGGACAGGAGTCTGGAAGCCCCAGGGATGCGGGAAAGCGGCTGCAGGAGAGGCCGGGAGCAGCTCGGGTTCTTGGAGAGACGAAGCGCAAGGACAGGAGAGGAGAACTGAACAAGGATAAAACTGGGCAAGCTGCAGACTTTACTCCATGAGTGAAAATGGGGATGAGAGCACGAGTGACAGCGGGAAAGGGAGTCCTGGTGCTGGGCAGAGGAGCTGGCTGGGCCGTGGGTGCCGGTGCAGAGGATGGGTCTGCACCATGCAGGGCCGGCTGCCCGGGAGGGAATCCTCAATATCAGGGGCTCCGGGTGCCTTTCTGCACCCTTAGCTTGTTCTCCAAGGAGCTCCACTCCAGCACTGCCTTTGGTCAGGGCGAGCATGCGGAGCTCGCGGGCATGAGCCATGAGCAGCCGAGTCCGGGCCGTGCACGGCGTGTCCCCTGCCCCAACGCAGTGCCGCCGCTGGAGCCGGCTCTGGAAATAAAATAAAATAAATAAAATAAAATAAAATAAAATAAAATAAAATAAAATAAAATAAAATAAAATAAAATGAAATAAAATGAAATAAAATGAAATAAAATGAAATAAAAATAACCCCCAGGCTCCACGTGCTGTGGCCGCCCTGCTCAGCGACCCAGCGCGCATCGGCCGCGTCTGCCGGGGAGGGCCGTGATTACCATATGAAAACGCGGGTAACAGTGGGATTCTTGTGGCGGCAGCAACGCGCGAGACCCACCAGCGTTTCGGTGCCAGTTCGCGCCACAAGCGCCGCTCGCGGCTGCGCTCGGCAACAATCAGCCTTTCAGGCGGCGCTTGGCCGCCCGCTCCCACTGCAGCTGCCGCCCCGCGGCGCGCGCCCCTTCCCTTCCCTTCCCTTCCCTTCCCTTCCCTTCCCTTCCCTTCCCTTCCCTTCCCTTCCCTTCCCTTCCCGCTGCTGATTCTGGCACGTGGAGGAGCTGGGCTGCGAGCCGCGGGATGCATGCGGGAAGAATGGGGGGTTATTTTTAATAGCGGCTCCGAGCGCAGTAATCTGTATTTAAAATTATTGCGTTTAGTTTTTAGAGATTGGATTGATTGTATTAAGACAAACAGGAGCTTCTCTTACTGCTTCCCTTGCTGCTAACGTSACCTCGGCGTAGTGCTGCTCGTGTGACAACAAGTGTGGGCACCGGTTCTGATCGTGTAGCCCTCATGTGCAATGGGGTCTCTGGTTTTGGGGCTGAAAGGCGTTCCCGGCCCCGGGGGAATCTCCCTACCCGCCGAAGCGGCGCTGGAGCGGCTGCATTTGGGTCCCTGCGCCTGCGCTTCGGGCAGCATCGTTTCCTGCGAGGCAGCGGAGGCCTGACTGCCCCGGCAGAGCCCCGTGGCTCCGAAAGATCGTTTCAGTGTTTGCTCTGTATGCCCTGTGGGAGAAATAAAATGCAAAGTGCAAATGCAAAGTTTCACAGAATCCCCGAATGGCTGAGGTTGGAAGGGACCTCTAGGGATCATCCAGTGCAGCCCCTGCTCCAGCAGGGACACCCAGAGCACGGGGCACCCGGGCGCATCCAGGTGGGTTGGGAAGATCTGCAGAGCAGGAGCYGCCCCAGCCTCCCTGCGTTCCTCCTCACATGGAGATGGAACCTCCTGGGTTTCAACTTGTCCCCATTGCCCCTTGTCCTGTCACTGGCCACCACCGAGAAGAGCTTGGCCCCTTCCTCCCTCCATTCTCCCCTCAGGTGCTTCTACATATTGGTGAGATCCCCTCTCACCCTTCTCTTCTCCAGGCTAAACGGGCCCCGCTCGCTCAGTCTTTCCTCACATGAGAGATGCTCCAGTCCCTTCATCATCTCTGTGGCTCTGGCTGGGCCCTCCCTAGCAGCTCCACGTCCCCGGGGACGTGCTGGGGAGCGCAGAGCTGCCCACGTTTGATGTTGCGGGTTGCAGCCGGGTGGCAAAATCACTTGATGTGATTTTAATTGTCCTCTCTCCATGACGGGAGCCCTTTTTCCGCCCAGTGCAAGTGAGCAAGGACGGAGCCCCGTTGCCCCGGGGCCGGCAGCTTCACSGTGAAAATCCCACACGGGGGTTGTCAAAGCTGCTGGCCCTGGGCAGTCTGAGCGATGCAAAAGCACATTTCCACTACTGGATTTGCACATCCTTCCCCACTCTGGTTTCTTGGAGAACTTCTGTTCTCAATGGCTCGCTCAGTGCCTAATCTAAAGCAATCCCCAGTGGCAAAAGTTAGTTGTGTTCCTGGGTCATCTTGCCGATTGCCAGGGTGCTCAAAGTTGTGGGTTTCCTTTGATTCATAAAACTACGTATTTTCTCTTGCTTCATACTGCATAAAATAGCTGTGCAGATGACAGGGAAAGGTGGCAGATCATGCTCAGAAAGAGACAGTGCAGCCAAATTTGCCAAATGTACTTATGTCATCGATGGGGAAATTTAAATAATATGGTTAGAGATACTAAAGAGTATTTGGAAACTCATTTACAAATATAGTGATGTGTTTTACTGAGTTGACACTGTCTCATAAATTGTCTTAATTTTACGTGGCTCGGTATGATACGTGTATTACTGCTGCTTGAGTTGCCTCAAGTTAAATGAAAGAAAAATATTTCTTCTTGTATGTTTAAATATTTTGAAAGGCTAGCGTCTAAGATTTCTGTAATAACTCTCTGTATTTTTTCTGTCTCTCGCATGTTGCCACCACAGGCTGGGAATCGCAGCTGCTGGAAACGGGATTCCTGGGGATCTTCCTGTGCCCGCTGTGGACCCTGTCCCGGGTGCCCAGTTACAGCCCGCCCTCCCGCATCGTCATCTGGGGCTTTCGCTGGCTCATTTTCAGGATCATGCTGGGAGCGGTGAGTGCAACATCACGTACGGGCTCGCTGCACGTGCCAGCAAAAGAGGTGGTCCCAAAGTTAGTGGTGAGGTTCATTTCAAGAGCTACATTGCAGCAGAAAACCCATCTGATGGGTTTTCTGAAAACCCAAAGCTGATGCTTTGTGCTGGAATCTCCTAGTTCAGGATTTTTTTCTAGTTAGAAAAGAATTTCTAGTGGAAATCCTTTCTGGATTTCCAAGCACGATTTCCGGAGCTGCCGGAGCCCAGGGCAGGTGTCTGGAAAGGCTCCGTGTCTGCAAGGAGCGGGAGGCCCGGCCGAACTCCCCCTCGCTGGGGCAGCAGCTCCCCTGCCTCAGATAAGCGCTCTGGAGATGCACTGAGAGCACCTGGTCGGATTTGCAGGAATTTGGATTAGGGGATCAGAATTTGCAGGAATATGTGTTTGGGAATCAGAATTTGCAGGAATTTGGAATTTGGGAGTCCCTGGTGCATYTTTCCCAGCCCCTTCTCCCCGAACCGTCGCCACGTGGAGCTCTCGGGGGGCTCTGCAGGTGCCGGCGCGTTGCAGACCTTGCAGCGTCGCCGCCTCGCTTGGCCCGTGAGCAGAGAGCTGCTCCTTCCGCCAGCTTTCCAGCCGGTATTTGCATCAGGATCCACTTGTAGCTGGATTACCTGCAAACGGATCCCGATGCAAAATAAAATACTTTGCAATATAAAATACTTTGCATCGGGATCCATTTGCAGGTATTTTATTTTGCAGCGGGATCCGCATGCAGCAGGTTGCAGGACGCTCCCTGGCATGGGAGGGCTGCAGGGCTGAGCCCAGCTTTGCCAAGCTGGACAAGGGGCTGCAGGAACCGGGAGGGAGCAGCGGAGCAGCCACGGCTCGCACCCATATGGAACAAGTTACTGGGAAGGTGACTGGAGCAGGGAGTGCAAGTGAGTCCGAGACGTCTTGATTAGTTTCTGGAGGAAAGGATTGAGGAGTGTAGTGGAAAAGCAGGGAAACGGGATTTAAAGCACATTACCACTTTAATTTAAAAGCGCCCAAAGCAAGGAAATTCGGGTTTAAGGCTGCCAATCTCGCCGTCGTGCGCGCAGGTGTTGCGGCCCAGAGACCCTGTTATCCAAACGGGCCATCCCCGCAGTAAACAAGCGCCGGTTTATTTTCGCCTCCCTGAATTTCACTTTCTGAACGTGCTGCAGCTGCAAACGGCGGCGCTTGCAACGCTCCGCAGCCACCGCGGCACCAAGTGTGCGAAAAAGAGAGGTTTTCTCCCCTGGTTTTCACAGAAAGATCACTTAAAAGGACTGTCTCCAGGAAAGGGAAGAGCTTTGCAATAATTAGCAATAAATTCTTGCAGTAATTTGTCATAATTATTTTCTGATAAAAGATATTGCCTGTCTTTCACTCAGTGATATGTGTTCTCACAGAGGATTATAAAAAAATGCTTCTGCTAACTAACAGCAATGAATTATTTTAGAAACGAGTGGCTTATGCTGAAATCCTTGCTTTTCTGTTTTGTTTTTCCCTTGGATTCTGTTAAAAGTGTCATAACGTGGGTGGCATTTTAAAGGTTACTGGAAAGGGTGGGGATGTGATTAGCTAATAAGGGAGATGAACTTTCTGGCAAAAGCCATGAACGCTTTGAAGCAAACAGAATCTGGATGCCTGTAGTAAAATTGCATTAGATGTAATGAAATAAAAGTTGGAATTTGGGCAATCTTGGTAAATATGAAAAGATGGGGGGGGGAGGAAGGAGAATCAAACGGATGTAGTTGTCATTTTGGTGACAAGCGTGCCCCGATCCTGGGCATTATGGCTCTGAAATTGAGAATAATTATTCTAATTTGTTTTATTACATTAGCGTGGGTCGGGGGGGAAGAAAGGGCGCTTTCTTTTGTGCCTTGCTCCTTATTCATGGGAGARGCGCGCGGGGCCAGGCTCCCGGCTCGAGCGCCGGGGCTTCCTGGGAATTTTTGGAAAATGATGTCTGCAGCGTTGTGACCTTTGGCGTCCCAGCTGCAGCCCTCCTCCTCGCTGCAGGGATCCCACACTTGACTCCTTAGCAACCCGCTTTGTGCCTCTGATCTCTCTCCGTTTGTCTGGTAATAGCCCTTGGCAGGAAGACTTGTTGTTCCTCCAGTGCCTTAGAAAGGGCCGGAGCCGCCAGTGCCAAGTGCTTCCAGAGCCCCTTTCACCCGCTCCGGAGTCAATCAAACGCCCCTGCGGCCGGGCTGCTTCTCAAAGGGGCTCTCTGGGAGCAGGGGGAGCGAGCAGCCACTAACGCAGCCCAGCAGCAGTGGTGACTTCCCGCTCCCAAACGCGCTTTCCGTCCCCGCTGAATCTGGGGGCCGTTTTGGTGCTTTTCCTRCCCGTGTTGCTGGTGACTCGGGGGCAGCGTTGGCACCGAGCGCTTGCCAGGGCCCAGGGCATGGCCTGCGCTGCTGCCCTGGGTGCTGATTGTCCTCCAAGGTTGACCCAGCCCCGCTGTTTTCAGACTCGGGTGGGTCGTGTCCGAGCAAAGCGCTGCTGGGGAAGAGGCTCCAAGGCTCCATATCCTGCACCCCTCGGCTTCCCGGCAGGCAGATTTGCCAACGGGCAGCCTGCTCCTTAGACCTGCTCTGCTGGGCAGGGCTTAGGGATTGGGGAGATCCCATCACTGGGCTGGAACGCGGTTGCAGACTTCGAACTGGCAGTGCAAGTGCTAGGGCACAAGTGAGGGCGTTTAAATCATCATCACCATCACCTGGTGAGGGTCAATCTACCCCTGCCTGCCCAAGCAGGTGTTTTAGCCCCTTAATTCTGGGTGTGGAAGGGGTGGGAGAGCTTTAATGATCAGCTGTTCATTTAAYGAGGGGTTTGTGTGACCCTGAGGCCCAGCTGGAGCTGCTGGTTTGCTGCTCTCGGGGCTGGGTAGGGAGGTCCCCCAAGCCCAGTGCCCGAGTTGCACCTTCCCKAAAGGAAAAGGAGAAAAGGAAGCTCTGTGGTGTAGGCAGCCTGGCCAGGCCTCCTGCAGCTCCTAGTTACACAGAGATCTGAAAGTAAGTTGATTTGGGCTCCTAAATTAYAAAAATATTTAAAAGTGTGTGAACTGTTCTGTGGTCCTAGCGCAAGCCTTGGGGCACAGGAGAATTGTAGAAAATGTATTGGATTGTCAGAAAGCTGCAGCTCTCCAATGAGCTGCTCTTGGGAGCTTCGATATTTTGTTAATTGTGAGGCATTTTGGGAAAACACAYGGGGAGCTGCATGGAAGTGGGAGCACTGGGCAGAAGCTGGGTGCTGCCTGGGAGCATCTTCCCACGGGCACCGATTCAAACGCAGTGCTGAGAACTRGAGCGACTCGAATCCCAAAATTCAGCAAGGCTCCAGAATTCCAGGTTTCCCTTTTTTTCCCCTCCCATCATTTGTGGTGCTAAGATGCAAAAAAAAAGGGTCTTTCGATGGGCTCCAAGTTAGGAGCTGTGCGCGGGTGCCGGGGTCCGCGGAGCCGCCGCAGACGTGGCCCGAGGCCCCGGCGCGGGTTAGTGCCCCGGCTGTGCCTTTTTTTTTGCAGGGGGGAATTAATTTTGGGCTGAAAAAGTCTGAAAGAGAGCTTTGTTCCTCCTTGACACCCGCTCCGGAAAGGAAAAAAGAAGAGAGAGAGAGAGAAAAAGAAAAACCGTGGAAAATTTGACATCTGCATTGTAGAGAAAAATCAATAGATAGGGAGGAATATAATTATCCCCCACTCCTGAAAGAATGTTTAAGATATTTTTTGTAACAGTGACTCATATCGGATTAGAGCTTGAATGACATTTTAATTATTTAGGCTTTGGGTTGCTTTCTTTTTCCCCTTTGGCTTTGCATCCAGGGAGGATTTGGGGCGTCCAGCGCAGCCGCTGCCCCGTGCACGGAGCGGCTTCTGCCGGCGGCAGCCCTGGCTCCGGGAGCCGCTGCTCCTGGCACTAAGGAAACGCGGGAGTTCATCTTCTTTTGAGGTGTTTTCCTCCTTATGCAAAGCTCAAAAWAGCCCTTGGCGGTTTTTTTGGGGCAGCCTGTCAGAATGTTGCTTTTCAGCTGATAATTTTGCCTTGTCCTCGTGGGGAAGGGCGCGTGGGTGCAGCCACTGGGTGCTGGGGTGCACAGAGGTCCTTGTCACTKCTGGTGTCTCTTTGCAGGGAGGCTGTCCCGCATCTCTCCTTCCCACTCCTGAAGTGCACGAGAAGTTGGAAGCTCTGCCCSAGTTTCCGCTGAGCTCCCTGCTGCTGGATGCTCTTTCGGTGATGGGGAAGCGAAGGAGCCCGTGAGGTTACTTAATCCAGCAAAACTGGAATCGACTCATTGGGAGCAAAGGRCTGGCGTTATTTCCAGCCCTGAAGCCCCCAAGCCACCAGTTGGCAAGCGCTGCTGATGTCGTTGCGACAATCTGCTTGGTTGGAAGAGAATTTTGGTCAGAAATAGCTGGTTTGGGGCTGATGCAGTCGCTCTTGCGAACGAAGAGCGCTCGAGGGCTCCCTGCCCGGCCAGGCTACCCAGCCCTGCAGCAGGATGGATGTTACAGCCCTGCAGAAGATGGACGTTTTGGGGAGGCTTTTTCCCAGTTTCCAGGGCGAGAGTTTTCCCTAAGGTCTCGGTGCAAGTGACGGCCACAAYGCGCTGGAGCCCACACGGATCTTGCTCCGTGTCCCGAGGCCACGAACTGGGCCAGTCCTGCCCGCCTTTCTGGGGAGAAAAGTGGCTGCTTTGGGACTGCTGTTTGTGCAGGGTGTGGGGTGTGGGTCAGCACAGGGCCGGCAAAGTGGTTAAAAACAGGCACTTCCTGAGCATCACTTSAGGAAAAAGTCCTAAATGTTCATTGTAAATGAGTTTTCCTGCTCGGGAGGGCCGAGCTGGGAGCTCAGCTGCCAGGATCCCACTCACCATCCGTGTGATCCCTGTGGATTTCTTAACCCKGGGGTCCAAAAAGCTGGGACCAAAGCAAGGCTGTGAAGGCGAGAGGGCGAGCGCTAGCTCAGGAGGCACCTGCTGCCCTCCCTTTGACTCGTATTTAATTTATGCTGCCCACTGCCTTTTCCTGCTGATACAGAGAGCTTGGAAAGCGCCGGCATGAGGGGCGGACAGGGCCAGCGGCCGGGGCTGCTCTTCGTTTTTATCCAATGCCTGGAGCTGGGCAGAAAGAGAGAAAAATGGGAAAATGCCCCTAAAATCCCCTGTGYCCTGCCCACTAGTCCCCTATCCCTGCTTTATTCTAAAATTCTTCCAAAATTCAAGGTTTTAGCTAATGCGCTGCTTGCTCAAAACTGGGTAGAAGCTTCCCGCCTTGCCAACRTTTTTCTGAAAAGGAAAAGCATTTTGGATTAGTGCGTTGAGCTTTCTATCGGCTATCTGTTCCTGGCGTAACTTTTCCAAAGAATGGCGTCAACCCTGGAGAGCATTAGAAGGAGAATATTTCTTATATTCTGCCAAGTTGGGATAATTTTAAAATCTTCTCAAATTGGATTCTTATTATAAGAATGACTTGAGTTGACAGAGTGAAGCTGAACCTCCTAGAAAATGGTTTTCCCTGCTTTCAAGAAGTACCCACGGAGATCAGTGTTTTATTCTGCATTTGTGCAGCGCCTACCGCAGTGGGTTCCTGTTCCATGAGCTCAACCCATGGGCGCTATCACAGTGCAAATAGCAAAAAAAATGCATACAGGATGGAGCTGGGGGCTGCTTCAGATCGGCTTTAATCTTTATTTATTTCAGTCCTCTTTATTTCAGCTCGGGAGGTGCAGTTGGATGCTGTAGCTCACCGGGAATAGCGAYGTTCCCAGCTGGCACCAGCCTCTGCTCTCAGGTTTAATAAAAAGGCAGCAAGGTGGTTGTGTTGGCCAAGGAGCTGCAAATGGGATAACAGGGGCGTTCCTCTTCCTCACGCCTGTATTCCCATCTCCTGTATTTCGGTAAAGACTGGGAATGTTTGGTATGTCCAGCGCTCCGAGCGGATGCAGCGAGGAAACGTTGCCTGGACACCTCTTCCATGGACATGCATTGTCACAGCAGCAGGGCCCMCGTCCCGTTTTGTGACCCGGAGCAGACGGAGCCCCGGAGCGCTCGGATCCATGGGCGCCCCGCGCTCCCCGTCCCTGACCCAGCCGCTTAAAAGCTGGAATTCTCACATGCCGTCGTGGGTGGGAAAGGGGACCGTAAAGCTCTGGCAGCGCAAAGAAGACACAAAACTCCCCTTAATTACGAGAGTGGGAGTTCTCTATACTGAAAAACAGATTTGATTTTAAGAGCTTTAAGTGACTTTTCTATGGAGGAGCTTTATAGTAAACAAAATGCGATGAACTCAGAGAGTGACTCATTGCAAGAGACTTTCAGTTCTTCGCGTGGCGTGTTCCTGCGAGAGCCTTGTTTTAATTATCCTTGCTGGCGAGGAGGGCTCGATAACAGCTCGGGCAGGGAGGGGGAAGGTCATCGCGATGGGCGTCCTTGCGCGGCCGCTGACAGCGCCGGCGGCCGCGGCGCGATGCTATCGGCCCATCCTGTAACCCTAGAAAGGGTCCCGGGACGGAGGGATGAGCCGGGGGCGGCGCTGATGACAGCGACCTGTCTTGTCCCCTGCTCTCCCCCCGGCTCTGGCCTCTCCGGGAGCAGCGCGGGGAAGAGCGACGGGGCCGGTTTGTGGCTCGCGGGGTGAAGTGGCCGTGCGGTTAACGGGGCTGTTGCTCCCACCCCACGGGATGCCCCTTTCCACCCTGCTGGGAAGCCCTTGTGCAGCCCTTGCCCTTCATCCACGCCTGTGGACCCTCTCTGCTTGGGTTGGTGGCGGTGCTGGTTGGTACCGCGCCGGATCCCCACGCGGTGCAGAGCCAGCGCGGGGCATGGCCAGAACTCCGTGCACTACTGTTGTCCTCGTTATTAATCCTTTCTTCAAAAGGACTGATTATTCCTTTGCTRATTACTTCCTGATAAGTTCCTGATTGATTATTCATCCTTTCTGCAAAAGAACTGATTAAGACTCTGCCTGGCATGGTCTCAGTTGGCCTCAGGACCATGTTCTTTAGAACAAGTCCTGCCCTATGCGACACCCTGGGACTACGTCAGGTTTTTACTGCCTTGACCGTGACAGGTTCTTCGGGTGCCTTCTTGGCTAAAAATTACAGGTGTAAATTATCAGGACTCGTTGATTCTGAACATGTTTAATAGTTTCTGTTTACTGTYCTCTTCAGCTGACCTTGGAATGAAAAATAGTTTGGGTTTGTATTAGTGGGGGAAAAAAAGAGGAAAAGTAATTAGGAACASCAGATGGGTAAGATCTGCCTTAACTTAGCGAGGTGCCTGATAACAGACATAATTTAATGCTTTAAATCACCCCACCAAAGGCTGCTGGGCTCACCCATTTTCACARAGACGTACATATCTAACCATCTCCTGGTAAAGACTTAGGTGCACAAGGTGCGTTGGTGCCCATTTCTTATTAATGTATGTGCCAAATAACCTCATAGCTCTTTTAATGCATCTTTGTGTAACAAAGTGCCCAAGGTCCAGCTGATCCATATTGTCCCAAGTAGGCGCCGTAAGCAGATGTTGAGGAAGAACCATAAAACAGAGCGATCCTCCCGGGGCAGATCCAGCTCGTGGYGGCCGGGGCCTCGAGGACCTGCTGGGGAGAGGTTGTGTTAGGGGTTGCCCTCCTGCTCGTCCTCTGAGAACTGGATTCCTTCTGAGCCCGTTTGTGCTTTTGGCTTCCACCAAGGAGGTCGTTTGCTATGTGGGAAAGYGTCTCCTTGTGCCTTTTTCTCCACCAGCTACTTGATGCTTTCATCAAGCTGCATCTTGCATGAGGAGAACTGGTGAATAATGCTCCCAGTTGGCCACCTACACATTAGTCATGACTTCCTAGCGCTCTGTGCTGGGCTCTGCTGGGTCCCTTTTCCACCGGAGCCGCTCGGTGCCGCTCAGGGCCCTGCAGAGGCCGTGCAGGGGATGGGAAGGTCTCTGAGGTGGGTGTTTGGGCCCGGGGGGCAACACGGCCCCCCTTCCTGGAGCTCCCCAAGGAGGGAGCGGGGCCTGCTGTGCTGGTGCTGGATCTCCCCATGGAGAGCTGCTGCCCAGCACTTGTTTTCTCTCTTGCTTTCCCAATATGTTGCTGGGGGGCAGCTGAAGCTTTGTGGCTTCCCTCTCACCAGAGGAGGGGTTTTTGGGGTGCTTGTGAGCTCTGCACAGGGCTTTGCAGTCCCTCCCTGTGATCTGCCCTTCCCTTGAGCCCCCAAAGCTGCTGGAAATGCTGGAAATGAAGAGCATTAACCAGCGTGGATGCCTAAGAGGTCAGGATGGGCCCTAGTGCCGTGTTCTCCTCAGCATTCCCGGATTTCAGCACTGAAACATCTCTGGTCTTTTCTGGAAAACATCTCCTATTGCAAACGCAAAAACCTTCAGGATGCTCCCAATGCAGTGGATCCTTAAAGAAACTCCAGGTCTTTTTCCACTAAAGAAAGCAGGAACATTATAATTAGGGGCAATGTCAGAAGGTAGGCAAATAGGCCCTAATTGTATGCAGATGATAGAGCCGGGCTCAAGCTTTTGACTAGTGAAGCTTTCCTCAATTTGGGATATTGTGATCGTAATCAGGGCCCTCCTGGGCACATCAAAGCGAGCCGCGTCCCTCGGGGCCGGCCAGCTTGATTGCGCCCTTCCTGCGGCACGCTCATCTCTGGCCAGGTGTCCTTCCTGCTCTGGACGACTGATTCCTTTCTAGTCTTCATCACCGAGGCAAAGAAATTTAATCCCAATATTACTGCCAGCCCTGGAATGGACCCACTGGTTTGGAAATTTCACCCTCTTGTTGCCCTGAAATATCAATGCAGAGCAGCCTCCAATACCTGCTCATTTCACTGCCAACCTCTAACCTAAGGTAGAGCAGACCTGTCATTAGTGTATTCATCGGGTTTGAATCTGTCAGCTTCCTTCCCCTTCTCCTCTTTTGTTTCTCTAATTACTTTGATTGCATCTCTGCCTAGCTCGGGCTCATCTTCCTGGGCTGCAGCAGCCTCAGCCGTTCCCGGAGGGGCAGAGGCGGCTCTGCCAGAGGGAGGGATTTGGATCTGGGTTTGGAAATTCACTTTYCAGCCCAGTCRTGGGATGGTCCCCAAGCTGTAGACRCCACCTGGAGCCCAGGCCGCTTGTGCTCTGTGCGGGTCCTGACTCCTTGTGCTCTGTGCATCAGATGAGGTGCCAGGTTGGGCTTGGGTCTTGCAGGACAAGCGGCGCCGTCCGACGTCCCCCACGGCAGCGTCTCGCGCCCGCTCCAAGGACGCGTTGCCTTTGGCCCGGCTCCGTGTCCACAAGCTGATTCTGTCGATGACGACCTGCAGAAGGAGTCGCTCACTTGGGGCCCTGCCCCAGCTCTCCGGTTCTTGCTGTCCCCAAGGGGCCCCGGGCGCAGATGTGCGAGGGGTTCAGAGGTGGTGCTTGTTCAGCCTCTGTGGTTCTCTGTTACTGGATAAGTCCCTGGGGTTTAACCACAGGATTTGACATCTTGAGATGTATCTTGGTATTTAAAGGAAATATTTGTGACTGCATTTTTTAAAATTTATTTTCCAGGGATTGATTAAAATACGAGGAGATCGCTGCTGGAGAGAGCTGACTTGCATGGATTATCACTACGAGGTACGTGACACACACCAGCACCACGCGGCTACTGCGCTCTGCTAGGAACGCTTCCCCTGAGCCTATCCCCTCCACGAGCCAGTCCTTCCCATTGTTCATTCTCAAGCGTTGCCTTCTGCCCTGGCAACTCCATCCATATCCCTGTGCAATTCATGATGCTGCTTTTCCATCCTTGGTCTTTTGAGACCAGTTTCTCTCCTTTTCCTCCACTGATGATGGATTGAATCAGGAACAAACCTGGGCTCCTCCAAGAGCTCTCTTTTTCTAAAGGGTGCAAGGAGGGATGGGAGGACCCGTCCATAGSAGCGTGCTGAGCACTTCTGCTTGCTCCTCAGGCCCGTGGATGAGTGTCTCGGCGCTGTGTGAGAAGCTGCACACGACTCACTGGCAGTTCAGAATTACAAATTTCTCCCTTCTTGACATCTGTTTCRGTGATTCCTTTATGTTCTGATTATAAGCTGCATTTTCTGTGCTGGCTCTGAGCGTTGTCTCTTGGGTTGCAAGGTGAGGGAGCTTGACCTCTCTTCTGTGTTCCTTTACCTATATTTTAGCATTTGCATTTAACATGAGTAGTGGGGGTGCGTTTCAAAAAGTAAAAATACACTGTGAACAGCAGCACACGGCTGAGCAGGTAGCTGCAGTTCTGCGATGAAGAGAACCAAATTGCCGGCACGTTCCTGGCTCCGGGTGAGCAGCAGGGGTGCGGAGCGGGGCGCACGGAGCTGCAAGGCCTCCCCGCAGGGCCCGGCCACGTCCCAGTGCGGAGCCTGCGACCAGGTYCCAGTGCGGAGCCTGTGGCCGGATCCCAGGCTCTGCCGCTGACCCGGCCCTCCACACCCGGCCGGCCTAATCCCAAATATTTCAAATCAAAAGCAGCACCAGCTCTGCAGCCCAGAAGGCTAATGAAGACCATTCCTATCATATCCCCAGCGCATGATCCCCGGCCTGCGAAAGTAATTGGGAACAGCGGCACGAGGCAGATCACGTTATCAATATCAATTATTTTAATCCACCCCAAAGAAGCTGCAATAAAGGGGAAATGAAAGGGGCCGTTGGCAGCAGATGAGGGGCTGCAGTTCACCTGCCAGTGGGGCTTTYGGCAGCTCCGTCCCTTCTCGACGGGGATCGATGGATCCTCACGGAATCATAGACCCTCATGGAGACACGGACCCTCCGTGGTGCACGGGACCATTCCCRAGGCCGTTCCCGGAGCAGGCGCAACCCTGCTGGGATGTGGGATGTGGCCGGCCCCAGGCTGGGGCGACCCCGCGAGCTGCAGCCGACAGTGCCGGTCCCGGAGCCGCCGAGGGAGCTCCGAGCTGCTCYCCGGAGCATCCTCCCGCTCCCTGCTCTGCCAGGCCGCGATGCTGGTCCTGGGAGCGCTGCTTCCCTGGTGCTTGCCCTGCATCGGTGCGTGCTCCGAAGGGAGCCTCCGTGTGAGCCCTGTGCTCCACAGCTCCCTGCAGCTCCACACTGGGGCCGCCAGCATCCGAGCGCCGGGCACGTGATCCTGGGTGCCTGGAAAGGGCAAGTCCTGGTCCCGTCGCTTCCGCRGTCCTGACCCAGGGGGCTCGTCCCGGGGGGCTGCAGGGCCGCGATGCCGCCCGCGGCGGCTGCCCGGGCGCTGCTGCTTTTTAATTACAGCCGCTCAGACGAATATCTTGTAAGATTCGGCCGCCAACTGGTAGGAACAGCTGCCGGAGCAGCTGCCCGGGCAGCCCCGCGGGGCGTCATGCTGCTCCGCACTGCGAGCGCCGTGTCCCGCCAGCCGCCCCCCGCGCAGGGAGCTCCCTTCTTTGCATTGTGAATTTTCTGTGATCTTGGAGAGATGCATTTTAGCAAAACGCGCTGTGCATTCGCTCCTGCTGTGGCCTTGCAGCCTGCGATGGAAGGCAGATGTGCTGCTGGTGCAAACAGGATGCAGAGCGGGTTGAAAAGAACAGAAAGCAGCAGCAAAGTGCTTGGCCGTGCTGGAAGAGAGATCCAGGATTGTTTCCCCTCCATGGAGGTTGCCCTAGATGCTCAGGGTGGGCAGACCCAAGACTCTTGACCCTAATGATGGGCTTGCTGACTGAGAGCTATGTGGTAATAGGGAGAGTGAAGAGGAGGCTTTACCCGCGCTTTAAATGCCTCTTGATTTCTTTTCTCACTTCTCTTCACCTGTTAGAGCCTGTTAGACTTGTCATCTACCTTTGTCCAGCCTGTCGGGAAACAAAAAGTAAGCAAATAGTTCTTATCTAGCAGCTAATTTGGGTACATGAGAAAACGATCTGCTTTTCTCAGGTCTGGTGCCTCGGGATAGGTTGTTTCCCAACCAAGTTTTTATTGCTGGGAGCAAAAATGCTCCAAACACTTAGAAGCAGGAAGCTGGAACTCTTGTTCAAAGCAAACTTTTGCCTCACCCTAATTTGCRACTATAAAAAGGTGATGAATTGGATAGAAAACGAGATTATTTAAAATATGTTTGAGAATGCCATGCAAAACATTTTGGAGATCCACGTTTTAATAGCATGTTCGGAAGTATTTGTGTGGCATCAGGAATCTCCGGTCGTTGGCACTTTCCAGAATTTCCTCCATTCCGAAGACGGGAAAGGTGGATCCCAGCGGAGCAGGTGTCGTGGGGCAGTTTTCCTGGATCCGGAATAACGCAACCGCCGCCTCCTCCCGACTGCTGCCCTTGGGCCTCCCTGTGCCAGCCCTGGGTCAGCGGTGCTAAACCCAGCTGGAAAGCCAGGCCTGGCAGAAGGGGGAATTTGGGGGAATTCTCCGGGGGAGAAAGGAGATGGCAAACGAGCTTCCCGTGCAGCTGAAGCATCGGGAGCCGAGCGAGGCCTGCGGGTGCTTGGATGGGCGCGCTTGGCTTGGAAATTCTGCAGTTTTCCCAAGGAGAGGATATTACACCAGACGGCAGAATATTCAAGGTGACCTTTGAAGCAGAGGCCACACGTGGTTTTGTCTTGGCAAGGGGCGTTTTGAGCGAGCTCTAGCACTGCTCCCAAGAATGGGGAAGGACCATCTGCATCCTGGCTTTAACCTGGAAGGAGGCTTTGGGCTAAGAAGCAAGAGTGACACTGAGGAAACTGGGTTCTGCTCGTGTTGGATTGTAACTGAAATTTGTTTTCACCTGTTGCTGTAAAAACACAATCCAACTGTTCTTTAAATCAAGATGGATACCCAGAGGATGATGGTGCTTGTGTTCGGCTTGTGCTTTTTTCAGTTGGTCATAAGTCTTGAAAAATGACCTTTTCTGAGGCATAAGTGAAAAACCAGTTGTCCCCGTTCACACATATTGAAGGGCCATTTAGTGGGGATTTGAAGCTAGGGATTAGGTGCTTTCTTCTGGGTTTTGGTGATTTGCGTGATGTCAGTGCCAGCGCTGGAAGAAGGGCTGATCTTGACCTTGCCTGCGATCAATTAAGTAACAAGATCCATCATAAGGTAAGTGCATGAAGCAATAATATTGGCAGATAAATGTCAACACGACATCAAAAGCTTATTGCGCTGGATCTGGATTTCGTATCAGGCTGCTGCATGAAGGTCTCTATCTAAGACAGGTTTTCAGATGAGTCCCAGGTGCTCTATATTGAACGTAAGATGTGGTGGAATGGGGTTTTGCTGGAAATTTTTGGTATTCCCGGCTTTGGGCTGGGCTTTATTATTCTGATAAGAGGTAAATACACCGGTTGCTTAAAATAGAGAGGGAGAGAAAGCTTTTCAGGGTGAAATCAGTGCTCAGCCTGGAGGTGTTTGGGAGGACGGGCGTGTGAGGCGTTGCCTGGTTTGCACGGGTCTCCTTTGCTGGCACAAGTTTCCCGCGCGCAGTAAGGGATCCAGGAGTGTGAATTGGAGGCGTGCGCTTCCCGGAAAGAGGCGCAGGTTCCAGGGCTGCAGGTGGGCAGCACTGCTGCCACGGGGCCCGGGGCTCCCCAGGGCTGTGGAGCGATGGATTTGCACAAGGGCCCCGGCCGCGCGGAGCCGCGAGGCCGCCGTGACGGGCACCGACGTTGGGGCCGGTGGCGCCGCTCCTGAAAGCACCAAAGGGAACATCAGGGGACGCTCCAGAAGGACGAAGATAACTGGTCATCACAGAATGGTTGAGGTTGGAAGGGAACTCTAGAGATCATCGAGTTGGACGTGAGCCGGGCTTGCGCTCCGTGCGGGCCATGGTGGGTGAGCGCAGTGTTCAGAGGAGGCGGCAGCTGCTCCCCGATGGCTGCAGCTCCCACAGGTTTGGGAGGCCTTTCCTTGCCTTCTGGCCGCAGCTCAGGCCTTGCCTTGCCATGGGCACCCAGCTCCACCAGCTCCACCTGCAGCGGGAGCATCCGGGGCAGCGCGAGCAGCTTCCGAGATGTCTCACACGGGCCTGAGCCAACCYGGGCACCTGYGCCYGGGTCCCCCCGCGGTCCCTGGGTGCTCCAGTTTGTTCCTGATTTCCAGCAGGATTAACACGAAGAGGAGCACCCTGCGCGGCTRGGACGATGCCCCCGGGAGCGCCGGGGCGGCGCGGAGCCGTCCCTCGCCGCCGCCGCGCGTTGGGAACGTGCCAGCAGCGTTTGCAGCCGTAACACAATTCCTCTTCCCGGATTCCTTTCTGTTTTTCTTGCGGATTTGTTTTAAGCCTGGTGAAAGCTTCCTGTGCGACGATTGGGTTTCGGCTCTTCGTTACGCTCGCCCGCTGCGCYGGGCTCCTTTGTGGACCACCCAGGCCCCGCAGCGCTGCCCGGGGGTGTCAGCACCCCTGCACCTCCACCTGCCCCGCGGGGCTGCCCCGCGCCCTTGTGCCCCTTGCACGCAAGCAGCAGCTCCCYGGGATGCTCTCAGTGCCCGTGATGGCCTCAAATGGCAGCAGCACCTTCACCCACGGGCCCGTGGCCATGGATGGTCTCAGCTCCCCCAGGGATGGACCAGAGCCCGGCCAGGACCTCCTTGCACAGGGGCACCYGCCCGGGCACTCGTGCCGGTGGAAATGGGTCTCCAAAGAAGAAGTGACACCGGTTATT